TCCTTCAAAAACTAAAGTTGTACTGGACTGCAGAATCGGTCTCTTGGAGAGCAGTATTTATTCATATGATGTAGCACTTAACGCTCTTATGATAATCCTACTGAAGTCAATTGGTTTACTTGCGTTAGATGCCCGTATTTGCACAACAAAGGGGCTGCAAAAGCTTGTATCAAAGATACAGTATGGCATTACTTACAAATAAGAACTCCCACTGCCACAGGCAAGTTAACTGATTACGAAGTGCATATTTGTTGAGTGAAAGTTGCAGGAAGGAAAGGAATGATCTAAGCAGCATCAGAAAGCCTGGGGATGTTGGGGAAGGATACGTGCTACAATGTGTTGCCTTCTATCAGCTGGACACCATGAAACAGAAAGCTCCACTGTCAGAAGTGTGCACACCACATGCCTGAGTTTTACTTGTGCACTCAGGATCCTTCAGCCAGGATTAGACAGTGAAATTCTAGCTCCACTGAAGCCAGTTGTCTCATCTAGGGATATTAAGACAGCTAAAAACCCTGCCATGTTTCTGATTACTTGATAACAAACACAAATAAGAAAAGCAAGTCATACTATAATCCTATTGAGATTCTACATGAGAAGGGGACAAAGGCTCAGTATCAACCTTAGTTTGTGTTGTGGTTTAGTCCAATACGTAGAGACTGATGATTCCTCTTTCACTTTGACCTTAAAAAGTAAGGTAAGGAGAAGTCACAGGAAGTGGTACTTCCTGCTCCCATTAACATCCTACAGCTTTTTCAGGATATGTATTTAATGTTATTTAAATTATACACCATGGCAGTATCAGCTCACTGTCATAACATCACATACACATGCTGTCATGACACATCTCGGCAACTGTGCAATACATATAGACATCAGCATGCTCTGATCAAATAAAAGTCCCTAGAAGAAGCAGGTAACATAATTTTAGAATCATAGAATCGTTAAGCTTGGAAAAGACCCTTAAGATCATCAAGTCCAACCGTTAACCTATCACTGCCAAGTCCACCACTAAACCATGTCCTCGAGCACCATGTCTACCCATCTTTTAAACACCTCCAGGGATGGAGACTATTTTGCTTCCCTGAATCTATTGGTGATATTAAATTGGCTGAATTTTGTGGCATTCAAGATTTAAAAAGTACATAGATGGCATGTAACAGCTGTCCCTTGATTTCTGAGTTTTCATTCTTTCCCATACTTTGCAATCCTCTCAATTTATCTACCCTACCTGGAAGTAATTTGGGTTTTACCCATCACAACTCAGACTTACTTCTGTAATATTTTCCTCTGTCATTACTCAGTTTTTGGCATATGCCTTTGCCTCCTGCCTCTTTTGCTCCACCACCGCCTTCCCTCAACATCTCTTCCCTTTCTTCTTTTTACACACTTTTGCTCCTTTCTTTAACTTTTCTGGTTATTGAGGGATTCTGCTATTCTTTGTCTCTGTAAAGCTACAGTGTCTGATTCCCCTCTCAGACTACTTCTGCTAGCATAGCTCCATGTGACATAAAGGGTTTTGACTTTACACAAATGCAGGAGAATGAAGTCTCCAGTTTACAAATCCTCCAAGTACAAATAGGCTCAGTTATGACACAGGACATTCCTTTTCTTTCAGGAAGGACTTTAAATCATATTTATGAAAGTATAATATGGTTTAGGATGCTGGGCTCATTATGCATATTTTTATACTAAGATTCACATGCAAGTGTTCAAGAACAAGAATGTGACTAGTAACTTTCTCAGGATGAGAAGGCAAACATACTACAAAAAGGAGTGACATAATTTTGGCTGCCAAACCTATCATTCTTTAAAATTCTCACAAAAGAACAATTCTTCAACTGTTTTTACAGTGAGTGTAAACATCTTTCCCTTTGTGTTTTTTCAACTTTACCCAGTACCTTAGGGTTTCTGCACTTCTGTGCCTTATTTCAGTATCACAGAGTACAGGCTGAGGCATCTTGGGACACAGCGAAACAGTGCTTTTCTTTCTTATTTTTCCGGATGTCTTACTTCTGCACCCTAGAAAAAGAGCATATTCCATTTGCGTAGTTCTCTCTTCTCACTCACAGTGCAAGCTTTCATATTTAGCATAGAGATTTGTTTCCTAAACCTAATTAAGTATGGAATATTTTTACCAATCCAATTCAGCAAATTATAATTTTATCAGAACTGCCCTTTAGAAAAGGCTTTTGGAAATTGCTCTGTAACTCATTTGGAATATGTGCACAGATAGAAGGATTTATTTTCCAAACAGAAAGACTTCATCTCTCATTAAAAAACCATAAAAACAACACAGGAGAATAGTTAACATTGCTAACTCTAACATAATGTCTGTTTTCTGCACCATAGGTAAAAATTTAGCATCTTACAAGAAATTACCTTTTACAATAAATCTCTTTTCAGGAGCATGCATTTTCGTTTCAGCTGTTGTCAGGATTTAACATACCTGACTAATGGGAAAAGGGGACATTCTAAAATTGGCAGTGTGCAGGCGTCACATTGACAAATACACGTGCATACGTTTCTTCTGCTCCTGGGTCTCTATTTCTGATACTTGTCTAACTAATTAATGGCATTTAGATTTTCACAAATCCAGCATGCCACAGTTCACAAAAAGCTTTGTTGACTGGATTTTTATAGCATATACTGTCATGGTACCTAAGGGATACGTAAGTGATGGAAGTGCATCACCCTAAGGTCTCAGTCTCCTTTGCTGTGCTTTATTTTTCTTAGTACCAAATAAAATAGCACAAGATTTAATAAATTGGTGCAAATTTTATTATTTTCGCATGGCTTTGACTTTGATCAAGATATGAAATTAATTTTGTCTTCATGCTAATTAATGAAGACAAAACAATATCAAATCACAGTGGATCCATCTTGGGCAAACAGCAGCATGAAGAAAGCTGAGGTCATAAGAATTAGAAGATAATTGAAGAGGCATTGGCTTACGCCTTAGTCATGGACTGAAAATGTCATTAAACAAATCATCAAACCCGTTATAAAGAACTGTGTCATTATTTTTCAGGGATGTTGTCAGGTCTCTGAGTTCCAATCCTGCTCAAATGTTTGTTTTTCTTCCTTAGCAGAACAAAGACTGAAATATTTTCTAGATTATTTAAATGTTATAGACCACTGTATACAGAAAGAGTAATGTTTTCAGCATATACAGCTTAGGGAATAGCAAGAAAACTTTTATGTGATGAAAAATGAACTAATTTTGAAAAAAACAGAACATGAGCAAAAAAAAAACAACCTACAAGGTCAGGTTCTGATATGGAGGTAACCACTGTTTATATGCTTACACAATCAAACCCAGAATTTAGCACAGGGTATTTGATTCTGCCATCAAAATATGACTTCATTACTTATTTTATAGCACTAAAATAAATTACTTTGGGATGTAGCCTTACTTTGACATCCATGGTATACATAGCTCATTAATACTGACTTCTGCCTACTCAGCACAGCCACATCCGTCGGTCTAATCTTGTGCTCTGCAAGATAACCCAGGTCCCTAATTGCCAAAAAGAAACACAGGGATAATTAACCACACGAGCAGCATTCACGTGGCTTTTCATACAGCTAACTGGTAGGTTCAGATGGATGTATTTAACTGCAGGACAATCCCCACGCCTGCCAGGACAGCTGTTTGGAGGGGCCAGACTTTGCAGCGGGCTAGCAGGTCATTGCTGCTCTGCCCAGAGGTCCTGCCGGAGGACAAGGACTTTGTCAGCCAGCAGCGCTGGCCGTGACCTGAGCACAGTGTTGTCAGGGAGCAACCACCCAGGCTGCACGGCTGCAAATTCAGCCTGGTGCATGTATTTAGACGAGATACACCTTCGAGATACCTCTTTTGCAGAGGTCTGCCTGCAAGGTCGAGGCTGGCATGCTGGCGGGCCGGCGGCTGCGAGGAACTGCCCAGGGCCCAGTCTGAAAGCAAGCCGGAGCCGCTGCCAGCGGGGCCCCCTGCCACAGCTGTTCCTTGCTATAAAGGCTGTTGGACAACCGTCGCCGTGGTGAACGGAGGCAGTGCCGGCATGGGCAGGGCAAGGCTCCGCCAGAGCCGGGGCTCGGCAGCTCGCAGCTGCTGCTGAGGCCTGGCCTCCCCTTGGCTCGGCAGCGCGCCTGCCCGGGTCCTGGAGCCGCCAGGCGACAGGACCAGCGCGGCCGCGACGCTCCCGGGGATACCCCGGGCCCGGGGGGGACACCACGCGG